TTTCTGCTGTTTTCCCCATATCAGGCCAATCTTTCCGTTGCATTCCAGTCAATTGTGTGGCTGGTAATGATGATGAGTTGAGCTATCTCCGATCTATCCGTATCCATTTTTCTGCACAATCGCTGGTGTTCCTTCAGCTGATTGTCCTTCCCGTCGCTCCAATGTATTTTTGTTCACCGTCCTTAATCACTTCCATTTAATCAGTCTCTGTCAGAGTAAACGAATGCTTAAGAGATGCACGAGAAAGCGAAAAATGACTACTTGTATGTGCTCTAGTGTGGCTCTCTTCTTTGACGGTCGACAGACCTGTAGCACAGGTCAAATGCTGTCTTAAATCGGTGAAATGTGTGTAAAATAAGCGAATGAAAAAAATGCAGAAAAGCAATAGAGCATATCTGTACTGTGTACATATTTCTTATTTAAAAATGTGACTACTCTTAAGAGTAGCGGTAGTAGCAACAATGGTTGTCGTATTAAAAGGTGGTAAAAATAGACCGACAAAAAACGGCATGCACGGGAATATGGCGTCGAAGAGAAAAATAGGACACGGTTGCAAAAGTATGCAACGTCTTTGCGTAGTGTGCATATATATATATATATATGATTAAATAAATCCCTGATTTCTGAAAAGATTGGTTGACAAAAGTCGTGTATAAAAGACTCCTGGTTTGCCCCTGAAATCCACAAAAGCAAGGCCATGGAGATGGTTCTAATTTGCAGGTACAAATAGACAAATATATATATATATGTATACATAAGTATACATATTTATTTATTTACCTCTTTAATGTTTGTGTGTATACTCAATTGAGCCGCTGAAAAACACTACAGATATCTGTGGAAGAAAAAATTCCCAATAGCTCGGGAAACTTGCGATTCGATAGAAAAGCTAGACTTATCAAAGGACGTTTGGAATAAATAGTTCGTTTTGAGGGGTTCAGAGCGCTTGGAAGAGTAAGGTTTTCCAGTCAGGTCTCAATTGCCTCCACGCGGTTTGAGGGCAAGAAGGCCCTTCCGGGCGATGAAAGAGAGTCAGAAATGAGAGAAAAGGCGAAGCTGAATGAGAAGAGAAGGAAGGAAATGGAAGGGAAGGAAGGAAGAAAAGAAGAAAAGAAGGCTATGTACACATCCATAAGGAAAGAGAGAATAGCTCACACGTGGGAGTGTTACCGGCTTCAGTGTAGAGGCGGCCAATCTGAAAGAGAAAGTGGACGAGCATGTGTCGAAGGTCTACCCTGGCCAGGGAAATCGGGCGTCGGAAGATTAGGAAAATCAAGTGGGGGACAAGAGGTCTGAAGTGAAGACGGTGCAAGTAGCAAAAAATTACGCAACATGATGGGCTGATTTGGCGCTTGTGATATTCACGAGCCCGCTGTGTAGAAGAGATAGCGGCCTTTGATGACAGTTTCAGACTGGAGCTGGAGCGATGCAGAAAGAGGGAGAGAAAGAGAGAGAGAGAGGTCGACTATGTAGGGGTGTGAGCCAAAGTCGAGTTCGGTAGATTCCGCCCGAGTTGGAGCAGAGTTGAACTGGCAGAATGTGATGCTGGAAGAGTTAAAGTGATGAGGACGGAGGAAAAATGAGAATGGATGCGGAAGAAGAAATATAAAAATATTTACTCAATTTTGACGGCCGAGCAGGCAAGGAGCACGGAGCCAGAGAAATGGAAAGAAGCGACGCTTTCTTCCTTAAATCCATGCTTTTGCCGACCGGCGATAAACGGGGCAACGGAGATGATGATGACGCAAAGCTAGAATGTGGTAGTCGAGGCGGATGTTGATGATGACAATTGTATTAAATGTAAATGCAAATGTATAAATATTCTACAGCAGCGAATACATGCGAAAGTTTGCAAAGAAGGCTAGTGGCCAGGGGGACAAGCTTTCAAGCCCGCAGAGTAAGACACTTCTCAACTGGTTCAATAGGCGACGTGAAAATGGAA